TATTCTTGGTGAAAGTAATTTTTTCTTAATTCAACTTATCATAAATACTTGATAAATTTTTATATTAGATCATGATTTTTAGATACTTTAGGGAAGCATTGCCACCTACTTCAGCTGAGAAAAAAATTTTCTCACCTTGAGAAAATTTTCTCTTGAATATTTGATATCTATTTTATATTATTTTAGCGTGCTATTATACATATTGAAAGAAAAAAAATGATGAAATATTATTTGATCTTCCCATTTGATATGTTAATCAATAAATATATTAATGAAAATTTACTTTTATCTTTATATTTAATTTTTTGGAACAAGAGAGAAATTTTCTCAAGACAAGAAAGTTTACTTCTATCAAGAACTAAATTTTTTGGAACAAGAGGCTGAATTTTCTCAAAACAACAAGATTTTTTTGACTTAAATAAATTTTCTTGGATAAAGATACGTATTCCTTAAAGCAAGAGAGTTAATTTTGTTGGAATATGTGAAATTTCTTGTATCGAAAAAAAAATTTTTTTCCGCTCAAAAAAATAATTAAGAAGAAAATTATTTTCTTGGCTCAAGTGAACTTTTTTTTTCTGTGTATTTATTTTCAATTCACTGTCTTTTCTAATCATTTATTATATTTTAATATTTTTTTTTTTTTAGAGCGATAAAACGAGGATATAACCCATCGGATGTACTCGAACATGCTTTTGGACCCAGGGTGACACGCAATGAAATGAAATAATAATAATAATAATAATAATGATTTCTTTTACCCGTTGATATTAATGATAAAATGTAAGGAATATCTCGTTATTGGATCAGAAAAAAGTAGTGTATTGATCTAAAGTTTGTAATTAAAAAATAATTTTTTATAAGCCGAAATAAACCTGATTTCAAAATTATAAATAAATTTCTTATATTATAGACTAGTAAAACAGATTAAATAATATTTTTTAATTTCATTTTTTTTTATTTTCACTCTTCATTAAAATATATAAGACACACAATTTTTTGTAATTAGGAATTTTTTATTTTTCAGCTTAAAATAAAAATTTTTTGTACGCTTTTTCGGCAATTTTAGTATCATAAAAAAAAAAAAACGAAAAAAAAAGGTAATCAAATAACCATACAAAATTGTTTTTATTTTTTATTGTTTTTTTTTTTTCTTATAAAAAATGATACAACAGATAACACATTTATTAGTTAATAATATAAACTATTGAGCAATATATAAATAGAACGCGATCATTGGTAAGTCTGTAGTCCAATAATCAAAGTTGTTTATTGAATTTAATTTTATTAATTATTAATCACTAATTAACCATCAAATACGTAATTAAAATTACAAAAAATCCGCTTCTATTTTTTTTTAATTAAGTTAATAATTAAGCCAAAAAAATTTACAAAATATCCTAAAATAAATTAGGATTTAATTGCACGGAATAAAATTAAAACAATTTCAATTATTGGACTTCAGTTTAATACGACGGAGATGTTACAATTTATTTTTTTTAAATGAGTGGATTTTTTTTTTTGAACACGAGGAAATCGAAATCTGTGATAGACTCGATTGCTTGTCGGTGTTTACTTTTAATAACTTTTTTTTCTAGATGAAGAAAAAAAAAATAAATTATAAAACAAATATTTTTTTTCCCATTGATAATTAATTCGTATAACTAATTCACATTTATAATCATCATTATTCGACATTTTTTAAATTACATCGCATGAGTTACAGGTTGTCACACTTGCGAGACTTTTTTTTTTTATCTAATTCATTATTTAATAATTTTCGTTGCACACTAATAGATTTTACGAATTTAAATAAGCATTAAACAATACATTTTTATTTAAACTAATTTTAATAAATTTCAGTAAATTATTTACAAAGACCGCATGTTTGTTTTTGTCTCGCATTTAACTTTGCAGTTATATCTATTTAAATTTTAATTTTATTAAACCGCTAATTGGGTAATTAATTTACAGAAATGCGGACACTGTTATAAAATAAAAAAAAATTACGAAACGTATTGAAAATAATTATTAATAATAAAATCGTAAAATCACAGTGTATTTTTTTTACGCCTAAATACATTTAAATATAAAATAAATAACAATCGTAACAATAGTAATGATAATAATCAACTAAGTAATAATAATAATAATTGATAATTAATTAATAATATTACAAACTAACAATAATAATTACTATTTTTAAAATATTTTTTTTTTCGCCTTCGCATGTGTGACATTGTCACTTTCATTTTTCATACAAAAAAAAAAAAACAATAATCATTCAATATTATATATAAAAATAATACGATTACGTATTGATATTAAAATGATTATATTTATTAAATAAATTTATCAACATTATCATCAAAAGTTTATTTTTTTAAATTCATACTTGCAAAATGAATTTAAAACTTTGGTAATTATTTACAAGTGAGGTCAACTCCGTTTTTTTGACCCCATATTTTTTATATTATGATTAAATACATCTGAAGAAAAAAATCAGATTTTTTTTATCTCATTATTTAAGAGATATAATTAATTAAAATATACGAGGTCTAATGAAGTGTACTTGTTCAATAATTCCAGAAATTAAGGGCTTGTAAAAAATTGGCAAACTTGATCTCACAAAAAAAAATTTCAAATAGATAGAACGATGCTTCATACATATTCTATTAAAATTTTATAGCGATTTACCACATCGTTTTAATTTAATTAATTTTTTAATATTATAAATTGGCTTTAATTTTTGTTGTTTGTCAGAGACATTACTTCTCCATATTAATCAGGTGAAAAATTAACATTTTCAAATTTTTTTTTGCGGCGCATTTATTATAAAAATGTGAAAGAAAAAAATAAAGATTTCGATAGCTTTTTGCCTTCAAAAGTTGCAAAAAATTTTGGCTCTCATGTTTTTGGATAAAATTTCTATTTTATCTTTTTTTGATATATTTTTTTTTTTTTAAAGTACATAAAAAAAGGAACAATTAAAAAAAAATGAATATCACAATTTTCTAAAAAATTTATAAATTGTTTTGAAAATTTTTACAATTTGTTAAAATTGTGATAATCAATTTTTTTTTTAAGGAGATTCAAGCGAATCTAATGTAAAAATAATTTTCATTTTTGATCTTTGAAATTAAACGTATAAATAAATACGTCATATTTATTTAATCCGGCAAGTAATAAATACGAGACTCATTTTATTAAATAAGTAAAAATCAGCAATTATTAAATTGTTCAAATTATTTTAAATTAAAATAAATAATTTTGATGAGAATTGGGAAGACTGAAAGTAAAAAAAAATTTTAAACATTATTTTGACTCATAAGTTACAATTGAACCTCCTTAAATTGTTTAATTTTTTACGTATTTAAAAAAAAAATTACCAATAAAATTAAATAGAAATTTCTTTCAAAAAAATGAAAATTAATATGATTGATCCCACTTGTAAATATTTACCAAAATTTTTGATGAAAAAAAAAAAAATAATAATAATTACAATATTTTTTATTAGAATAATGATGATTAATATATAGATTAATCGCGCTTCATTGAAGAGGTACAGCTGTGTTATTTATTATTTTTATAACTATTATAATAATAATAAAATAATAATTAAATATCTTATCAAGCAATAAGATCTCACGACATAATTTTTCATTAATTTTAATCTTCACTCAGCTCTGATTAATTACCAAAAACCCTCTTGAATAAATTGTTGATCTTTTAATCGATCTAACTCTATGATTGTTCACATCTCTTTTTAAAAAAATTAACACACAGTCTTATCACAATCAGACCATACATAATCGTCCACATTATCCAGATTTTAGTTTTTATTCTTCAATTTTTTCTAAGTCACCTAACTTTATGTACAGAATTAAATTTTTCACGATTATTATCATTAGTATGTAAATAAGTTGATTGTTATGATTATTATCATTACTATTATTAATATTATTATTATGATTATTGTTTAGTGTTATTATTAATATTAATATTAATATTATAATAATAATTATTATTTTATTTGTTTTAATTATTTTTGTGTTAAATACCGTGACGAGCCGAGGCACGAGGTGGTTCGACGGACAACGAGGTAATTATTTAGCCTCGACATCGAAATCGAGGACAAGAAGCTTTGTTTCTTCGGTACCATTACGACTTCCAACAGCACAAACAAGCTTTGTATCACTCGCACGAATCCTCCATACGACGCCACCACTTCCACCGCTTTCCAAAGCCACGAGATTTCTTATAAAATCACCTGAAAATTTTTTTATAGTTGATTAATATGACAATCTTTCATTCAAGTATCCACATGGTGGATCTTTCAATCAAGATCTTTCATTTAAGTACCCACATGGCATTTTATATATATATATATATATATATATATATATATATATATATATATATA